AATATACTTTCCAATAATACTCTTAAATTATTTTCTAATAAAGTAGTCATTACTATTTTGGAGACATATTTCAAATATAGATTATGTTTCATTGTAAAATTCAATACTTTTACTACCGTTACCAATTAATAACGAAAGTTTAAATAATATTATTATTAAATAAATAGTATTATGGATACGACTCGTATGCTCCGGACGCATAGTATGCTCCAGGCCCTCAGTGTCGTTGATCTAATCTAACGACTTTAATTAATTATATTCAAATGAATTATTTATTAAAAATTATATTACAAACTACCCCTTTAAATAATTATATGTGCTATGAAGTCCCCCAACTATGGTTATCATTATTTCGTAGATGTTTTTATTGAACCCCAAAAGTTTATATGATTGATAAAAAAAATTCTAATAAGATTTGGCCCCAATTAATGAATCAAAACTTGGATTTCATCACCCAATTCGACTCCCATCATCATCACTCATCAGTTCATCCCAGCTTCCCCCAAAGAACGACCTTTTTTTTTTTTACGGAAATCTGCATCCCAAAGAACTACCCTTAATTTGATAATCATCATCCAAATCCAGTAAACATCAAAACCTAAAACCCTAAAGCGACCTCATCATAGCAGACAAAGGGATTCAACTTATTCCGTAATATTCATGTTTGAGGTTTCCAGATTATACAGAGTTGTAGCTTGCTCTCCTCATCCAGCCCAAGAGTCGAGCTCATCCTCGGCTTCCGACAGGCATCAACTCCACCACGTCCTCGTCCCGGTGTAGCGGACTGGTGCCCTCTCTCGGCAAACCAGAATCGATCACGGTGTACGACCATTAAAAGGACATCGTTGAAAAATAGCAGAGGCTACGATGAAAAGAGGACCTCGCATCACGGTAGGCGAATTCTTGTGGCCGGAGTTGAGAATAGGGGAGATGGAAGAAGAGTCATGAGGAAACAACGGCGTTGCATAACAGATTGCTTTTCGTGTTCCCTAATACACTACAACGTTGCATAACAGAGGGCTTTTGAATTCTAAAAAAACATAGGGCTTTTGGTGGCGGAGAGGTGTGATGAAAGGGAGGGGGGTCTTTTACTACAATTTTGTTCTTGGTTTACTGGGTTTGTTTTCTCTGTTCTTGAGGGTTGTTAATTGATGTAAAAGTGGATTGTGAAGGGGGATTTTACAAAATGAAAAATAGATGAGAAAGAAGACGGTGAAAGAAATGTAAACAATTAGGTGACTTACACTATGTCAAGAAGAAATAACGTGGTTTTGGGTAAAAAGTAATGATTAAAAATTGTTAGGGGACTATACCGTATGTATAATTTTTTAGTAGGTGTAGTTCGTAATTATAATTATAATTCAAAAAATAGTTTTTATGAAATTAATAGTGTACCATTAGATTAGATCAACGGTGAAGAGAACCTGGAGCATGCTATGCGTCTGGACCATACGAGTGTGACCCATAGTATTATATATAAATGATATCCCGCTAATATGTTATTTGTTGGTTGCAAACCCTAAGTAACAGCGACGGTAAGGGTTGAGTTCGCTGGGGAGAGCGCCGGCGGTTGCATTCGCTAGATTCGTCGGCTCTCGGCCGGAATGGAGAAAACAGACAAGCGGCTCGAGCGACTCCAGTGATTAACCACCTCGGTCGCTCCAAAAACCGCTCTAGTTTTTTTTACTTTGCCGATCCAGTTTGGTTGCCAGGTCTCGGTTTTACTGGTCAGGCTGGCCGGCTCAACTCGGTTTTAATAAGGGTAATTAGCATAAATGGTCGCAAACCTATTCAATTTGTACAAAACGTCAAAAACCTTTTTATTTTGCACGTTTCGGTCATATATGTTTGAAAGAACAACGAAATGATCATTCCGTCTATCATTCTATCTCCATCCAAAAACCGTTAATTTCGTTCAGTCAGCACGCCACATCACTTAAAATATTAATAAAATATTAGTGATCGACCCAATTGAACCGGGCTGCCCAATTGAAAATACTAACTCGATACTCACCGGGGAAAAACTCTTCAGGGCCACTCACCCGCTCCGGCGACGAAGAGGATGAACACTGCACCCGGCCAACTAGTTCTCTGGAGACGACGACACGAACCCACCAAACCCCCCGCCTTCCACTTCCTCCTCGAACTTCACCGACCCGACGCCGAGCTCGCCCAACAAAGATGACGAAGAATTATTCGACGAAATTTGCAGTCGAGGTTTCTGGTGGTCCGCCACGAGGAGTTGTCGTTGTCGGTCGCTCTGCTCCTTCTGCAGCATCATCCGTGACCCCCGTCCTCATCTCCGCGTTCCCCTCCGTGATGAAATCCCCAATCGATCTCGACCCTTTACATTGCTTCCGCCTCGCTATGCAGCCTAGTTAATCTGCTAACTTGAAAATTCGTTAGTATATACTAACTAATATCCAAAATGTATGAACTAATATCCAAGTCTGCTAAGTATCTAGATATCACAAACTAGTATTCAAAACATCACAAACTAGTATCCAGATAGCAGATACCAACTAATATCCACAATCAATCAACTATTATTCAAATGGATACTCTTATGGGTTATATGGATACTCTTATGTGTTATCTGGATACTAATTATGTGTTGTTTGGATACTATTCTGTGTTGTCTATATATTAGTTTGTGAATTTGGGATAATAGTTGATTCATCGTGGATATCTGTTAGCAAACTTTGAATACTAGTCTGTGCTTTCTAGATACTTTAGTACTTGGATATTAGTTCATATAATTTGGATATCAGTTAGTATCTGCTAACGAATCTTCAAGTTAGCATATTAACTATCCCCTCGCCAGCTACCTCAGCAATTGCTTCTGGCCCCGAATAGTTTTTTTACTGGTTTCTGGTGGTTTGAGGTTTTTGTTGGTTTGGGAGCTGAATAGCTCTGGAAAGAGGAAAGTGACATAGTTCTGTCTCCAAAGATTTTGGTCGGTGGGTATAGAGTTAGGATTTTTGGTTGGGTTATTAGTTCAATTAGGTTTGGTTATCAATTTTTTATTAATATTTTAAATGACGTGGCGTGTTGATTCTACTGACGTGGTCGGTGGGTATAGAGTTAGGATTTTTGGTTGGGTTATTAGTTCAATTAGGTTTGGTTATCAATTTTTTATTAATATTTTAAATTCTAGCAAAACGTAACAGATCCTCTCGTTTATCCTTCCGTATCTAGCAAAACGTTACAGATCCTGTCTTTTGATCCCTTAAAGTATAAACGTAATAATTTCTAGACTGAAAGTTAAAACCCTCAAACCCCAAACACACATTACCGAATCGAAAACCAGTGGAGAAGAAGAAGTAGCAGGCATAGAAGCAGCGAAGAGAAAGAAAGGACCCTGAAGAAAAAATTACTCTCGGTAGTCGATTCGCAATCGGCGAACAGTGCTCCTGAAAGGTAAATACTAAATCATCCTTGCTCATTGCTTCTTAATTCAGTCCTTCATATAATCATCCTCGGCTACCCCCAAACTTGGGCTTCTATATGCTCTCACTCAATCTTTAGCAATTGACAGTTGAGTGAAGGAAACGTTTCAGAACAAGGAGTCTACTGTGAGTAGAAGCCTAAACTTCACTGATTGGCTGCTACACAACATCAAGTGTGATGAAACTGCCACAGAGTTTGGGATCATCTGTTGGCAACTTTGGAAGCAAAGAAATGAAGAGGTGATGGAAGGGTGTGCATTCATGAAAGAGAGTGTCATAGCTAAAATCAAAGCATGGTTCAACATAGTGAATCAAGCTCAGGCCAACCAGCAGAAGACAGCAGGTTTTGTCCCAAAGAAGAGAACCCCTTGTGATGTTGGATGGAAACCGCCAGAGGAAGGATGGATTCAACTACAATCTGATGGCTCCTTTCATGCTCAGAGTGGGAAAGCAGCAGCAGGAGGTTTGTTCAGGGATCACCTAGGTAGATGTTTGGGCGCCTGTGTGTGTAACTTTGGACGATGCTCAATCACTGCTGCTGAGCTGCGAGGAAGCTTGGAGGGTTTGAGGATTGCTTGGAAGGCAGGCTACAGGAAGATCGTTCTGCACAGCGACTCTACCACTGCCATTAATATCATTAAACACAGAAATGATGATGTGCATCGCCATGGTTCAACTGCCAGGCATTTGAGCTTTATTATGGATCGACAATGGGAGGTTAGAGTGTCCCATGTATATAGAGAAGCGAACTATGCGGCTGATTACTTGGCCAACAAGGCTCATGATTTTGATTTTGGCACACATCATTTCAATGTGTGTGATAGGGACTTGATTAGGTGGATCAACCATGATGTAATGGGAATCTCCCATGAAAGAGCTATTATTAATATGAATTAGACGCTCGACGTCTGTCGTTTTACCAAAAAAAAAAAAGGCAACGTTTCACCAAAACTGAAAAGCCACTTTAGCTGTTTTACCGTTCCTCGACGTGTACGCATTTGGGATTTTACTGTGTTTGAAATCTGAGTTTGGTAGAGATTCCTGTGAATTAAAATGGGTAAACTTCTAATTTGTCAGTTAACTTGAGCATTTGCTTCCACAGCTTCATCATGCAAAGGTTCCATTCATATTCATGATCTGAGCATCACAGTTATCCAAAATCTATTATAATGCCTTACAGATAGAGGGACAAGCAGGGGGGATTGAACCGACGAGAAGCGAAGAAGCACCGAACTGGGCAGATCAATGGGGGAGCGATGACAGGGAAGATAGATACGACGATGGGCTATCGTCGAGCAAGAAAGACAATGGCAACGGCAATGGGAAGATGGCAGATGTCAAAGCAGCAGCATCGGCTGGACTGGACAAGGCTAAGTCAGCAGCTTCTGTTGCGCCTTGTAATTATATTATTACAAGCTAGCGTTTCAGAATGTATTCACCCTTTTTTTTTATGATTATGTATGGAATAAAGATATAAACTCGTTGCTGTATATGCTATAGCTTAAAAGCGATGCTTGTGAACCCATACCGCAATGGAGCAGTGAACTCTTGCCATATTGGTTAGGTTTATCTTTTGAACTGTGGATAGTAGACAAAAGGTATGTCGGCCATACAAGATTTCTAGCCTTAAAGATAACATCTTACACAAAATGCTAGAAAGGTGTTCAAGATTCAGTCCGATCCAGAATTGGAGCAACATGCAGTTTCAATTTGATCCACTTTTTTAAAGATGCTCCAAGCAAGAACTGGGACCAAGAAAAATGACCGAAACAAATTATAGATTCGCTACAGTCAGATTCAATGGACTTTTCAGCCAGATTCAACCCTGTTGGGACCAAATAGTTGCTCCTAGCTAGAAAAGATGTAAATTCTTTGACAGAATCTGAGTGAACAATTCGAGTGGAACGACTAAAGTGGCAGAATCGACACAGATTCTAGAGGTATCCAAGTTTACAAGATAAGAGTCAGAGATACCATTCCAGAGAGGGAGGTCAAGAATGTACAAAGGATCAGTAGATTCTTCCTTACGAAATTCTAGCTAAAGGCTTAACTTTTCTTCACTTCATTTTTCTTCTGCATTGCCCCACACTACCAGTCTTTATTCACACTGCGCTTCATAGTTCTTCGAGCATTAGAGGATCCCGAAGGTGTTCTCACCACTGTAGGTCATGTAAAGGAACCCATCGTCATCCTTGTTCTCCTCGTAGATTGCAGACATCATGGCAGCTGCAAACAAGCTCCAGGGTCAGTAATTTGCAATGGTGATATAACGAGGGATGAATTTCGGGCACAACATAAAGCAAAAGTTTCACTCACCGGTTGGCGGTAGAATATTCTTCACAAAAATGAAAATGGCCTTCTCCGGAGTCAGCTTGATCCTCTTCCGGACCACATAAACAAACTGTCCAACTGTGAGATCAGCAGGAACCAGGTATCTAGAGTGGTCAAAACAAGGTCCAGTGTTAGTGAATGGAAGAGGAATTAAAAACAAAAGCTAATGTGACCGACTATAAGCATATCATAGTATAGTAACCAGTTGGATCCAATAAGCTTTATCATTAATATTCCCAGAACATGAGCACTCAGTAATCGTCTCCAGTTGGTATCCCCTCAGTACTTCATTGTCAACCTTAGCTAGCTAAAACTATATGTTAACACTTACCAGAAATCCCCATCTTACTATCATGCAAGTAAATCCTTCATCACAGTTTCGTTACTGACCCAGGCAGATCAACAAGTTATCGCAGAACTAAGTCCGAAAGATACAACAACCATAGTTCATAGATTCAAAAGTATACAAAGAGACTTACTTTTTCTTGTCAATATCAGGGACATCACTCTTTTCAGCCCGCTCAACAATTACCTACAACAATAAGCACAATCAATCACATCCACAGTCTTGAAGTCGCCCATGAAACCCGAAACTACACATGATTAAGAAAGATAGGATGGTAGATTGCGTACCGGGATCCTGTCTGGGTACTTCTCCCTAATGCGTGCAGCTTCAGCCTGCCTCCTCTCTGCCCATGTTCAAGAAGAGAACCATAGCAATAATTGGAAAAAAGAAATCAGTAATCTCGACTTGCACAGTATCAACCTCTCTACCCCAAGCACAATCACACTCAGGATCCTAATTGCTCGACAAGCTAAAAAGAGAACTAAGGAAAGAAAAACTACAAAAGCTATCTAAGTCCACTTTCTCACACAATCAATAACCAAAATGGAACGCACTCTTCAAGTAAGGTTCGTCGTGTTGATGAATAAGCCCCTCACAAGTCACATCCGCAATCCCTAACTATAGATCAAGATACGAGAGAAAGAAGAGATACAAACCGAGGGGATGTTCCAGCTTAAAAGAGCTCTTCGCCATTGCGAACACCTGAAACAAAAATCACATTGTAAATTTAGTAATTTACCCAAGCGAGAAAGTAAAACGAAATAGTTCGTCAATAGGGCAAAAAACGGAAGGAACCCTGAAACTGCAGATCGCCAAACAGTTAAGAACGAGAGAGAAGAGAGGCTACAGCAGGTGGTTGAGACTTGAGATGACGGACGGGAAGAGGAAAGGATGGGAAAAGGAGCGAAGTACCCTACCTGCAAGTTACGGAAGGAAGCTCTGCTTTGGCTTCTGTTATTTTTCTAGTCAATACATAATCCGGCACATAGGTGCTCTTTTTCTATTTTGAAAAACCTTTAATTTTCCCCTCTAAGGCTGAGTCCAATGCTAGTCCCCAAATTTGGGGACCTTCATCCCTAAATTTGGGGATCATCCATATTTTCTTCTCTTTTGTTCCAATGCTACATTCTCCAAATATGGGGATCTTCCTTTTTTCAGTTTTTCATTTACTTAAAAATGTATTTATGGAAGCATTAATATAATTTGTTCATATTAATATTTGTGTAGTTCGTCATCATTTTCAAATACAATTTTTTCGATAGAATTTTTTTAAATTCCGAGACCAAATTTTTTTTTTGCAAAAAATGATTGACCTAATTAGAGTTTACACACAGCTCTTGAAAATGATAAAGTTGAAAGAGTTCACATAATAGTTCAAATGATACAACTGATTGGTTACACACAACACTTGATAATGATAAAGGTTAAAGATAACACACAACACTTGAAATGATAAAGATGAAACACATAACATGTCAATAATCGCCTAGCAGAGAATAGTAATTCCCATAACCTCCTCCTCCACTCTCATCTCCTCCACTCTCATCTCCTCCCCCGGTCTGATTTGCGTTGGATGAGTAGTTGGGAACAGAGTTGGGATCATCTTGATCATACCCTAGAACAATGTTTTGCTGAGTTTTGTAATACTGCCTCTTTCTTGGTGTCAACTTCGACAAATCCCTTTCAAGAAGATCAACGTTGTTCCGAAATAGTGTCGCTTCCCTCTCTCTTTTTTCAACTTCCCACTTTTGTTCCCTCTCCCTTTTCTCAAGATTCCACCTTTCTTCGTCGCGCTTCGATTTTTTTTCTTGGAATTCCATCCTTTTTCGCTCATACTCAGCCCTCGAAGCATGCCTCTCCTTCAACTCACTTCCATAGTCCAACAATTGAGCAGTGTAGCTCTCTGATGGCTCAGCAACCCCCTTTCCTTTCTTCTTAGCCGCCTTTTGTTTGTCGCGTCCAGCAGGACGAGATATGACGAAGGGTGGAGTTTCTTCGACGAAGGGTGGAGTTTCTCCTACGAAGGGTGGAGTTTCTTCGTCTCCTTCTGTATCATTGAGGTCTGTCGGTGGGGTTGATTGATAACCACGACACATGGGAGAACCATCAGAACCTTGACTTATGCGGCTTTGATGTGAAGACGACATTGTTAACAGGGCATGAAATTTTTGACATTTTTTCAAAATCCGCCAACAATGACTAAAATTCCAACCCTTTTCTCCTGTCTCACTTTTATAAAGCTGTTCTGCCATATACTCCTATACGTATTAATGAATGAGATGAAAAAGGAGTTAGAAAGTAGAATTCATACTAATAAATGAGTTAGAAAATAACAGTGATGGTGACAGAGAATTCATACCACATCTTGTTGATTCGTGCCACTTGGTTGATTCCTCTCTGCCCTTTGAATAGCTGAATTCCAACATTTGCAGAATTTGGTGATGAGGCTCATTCGATTACTCATGCTTTTGATAGTACGAGTTGTAGTGGGATCATTCACTTGAAATTGCGTCGCCACTCTATCCCAAAGCTTTGAGAGTCTTTGATTAGCGCCCACAGCTCCATCTTCTGATATCATAACCCAAGAATTGCACAAGTTCACTTCTTCCTCCACTTTCCAACCCTCTCCTCTCTTGCTTGTCATTGTTTGGTCTTTAGAGAGATAAAGATGATAGAAAGGATGGTGAGACTGGAAGCAAATTTCAAAAGTAATAATGAATTGTAGAGAAAGAAGAGAGGATGTCTGAATATATAGAAAATTGAAAGACCGTTAGATATGACCATTAGGTGAGACTGTTAGGATGGAGGAACTGTCCTACTTCTTGGACTGGGCAGTACTTGGGGCACAACCATAAACCAACAATCATTCTCGAGGCAGTGGCTTCATACAACACCTGGATATGGCATGCTTTTTTCGGCGTACCTGGGTCGAACAACGACATCAATGTTTTGGGGATGTCTCCAGTGTTCGACCGTATCCTCAATGGATCCGCTCCACGATCACGATTTGAGGTAAACTGTCATACCTATGATCAATGTTATTATTTGGCTGATGGTATTTATCCTTCGTGGTCAACTTTAGTGAAAACATTTAGCAATCCAAGCTCAAACAAAGAAGCCTTGTTTGCTCGATGTCAAGAAGCACATCGTAAAGACGTAGAGCGGGCCTTTGGAATTCTTCAAGCTAGATGGGCAATCGTTCGTGGCCCTGCGAGATCTTGGGATGTTGCCACAATAAATGATATAATGTTGACATGCATTATATTGCACAACATGATAATCGAAGATGAGCAGGTTGATTCTGACGATGAAATGGAAGATAGTCTTGATTATGAGGTCCATGACCAACAACCAACTAATGTCAATAGAGATATTCCAACCCTAACTGAGTACTTGGCTAGAAATAATAGGCTTCGTACTGCACCAACACATCATGGGCTTCGTCAAGACTTGGTTGAGCATATTTGGAACTTGCATGGAAATAATTAGTCATTGTTGTTGCTTGAAATCGATCCTTTGTAATTCAATTAAAGTTGTAGTAGGTGATAATTTGCTTTGTATTTCAAGAACAAATTTTTATTTCAATAATATATTTTCCTTTCTTAGTTCGCTCTAGTTTTTGTTTACACACAACCTCAAGATGATAAACATAAATTTTAAATAAAATGAATTCAATTTAAATCATCATATCAAATAAAAGAAATTAAACGAGATATTAAACACAAATGAAATTTTTTTTTAAAGAAGCTTAAATAATACAAACATTAATTCTCATTCCCTTAATTAATCATAACACCTTCTATTAAACCAAACAAATAAAAATATTCATTAAAGCCATAATTAAACATAACTAAATCCTTAATCAATTACATAATTAAACCATCATTTCAAACCTAATCAACATTAATTACATTACAAAAAAAAAGTTGTGGCGGAACAACCGCCAGCCCCGGGACATGCGGCGCACGTGCGCCGCATGTCCCGGGGCTGGCGGTTGTTCCGCCACAACCTCTTTTCAGACTCCATAAATGGAGTAATCGCCATTCCCGTCGCCAGATTTGCCGCTCCATATGCCGATTGCCACCAAAAATGGCGCCGATCGCCATAAATGATCCTGCGTTGGAGCCGAACAGCCGCCATAAATGGGGAATTCCCCAATTATGAGGCTCCCGTTGGACTTGGCCTAAATCTTCAATGGATGATTTCTCACTCGTTTTTAGTTGAACTTTAAATTTTTTTATACAGTTAGATCAGATTAATTGTGTTTTTCAAAATGATATTCACTTTAATATATTTTTGGAACAAAATAAATTGAGTCATTTTTTACCTGGTATTGAAATAAGATCATACATATGATTTGAAAAGCGTATCATGATGGTATGAACAACCAGACTGTAGAATAGTTGAATACATGATAGTATAAGTATATTAACTGTCATTGTGTAATATTTTTTGGTAAAGTATTTTGTCCACCTAAAAATTTATAGATCCAATAGATCATGATGAACTCATTCCCTCTGTGCAAAAATTTTCAAAAACGAATTAAAAACGAAGAAGATACCATATGGTATGGAGTTGGTATCGAGAGACAAGAAAAAAAATTCTCAAAAAACATTGAAAATGGATCTCGTTTTGTAGAGCACAACGAACTCGTTCCATCTGTGGAAAAAATGAAATCCAAGTTAAAACGAAGAAGATATGAGCCGATTAAGAAAACAAGAGAAGATAAAAATGGCATTTAATTCTCCATTCTTAGATCTGAATTTTCTTAATGAAAGGTCCCGATTTAGTTATATATGAGTGCATAACCACGGTTATGCATCGTATCTTGAGGCCACTTTTCACACCCTTCCGTTGTCTTATTTATTTTTATATATATTTTTGCGTTGGATATGATTACAGTATATAGTTTTGTCACCATATTCGCATGCCAATTGCCAAGTGCCGACGTAAAGCACAAGTTTTCCTGGCAGGTACGGTACCGTTCATCGTTCGTAGCTTCAAAGTCGTTTTTGTTTTTTAAATGCCAAGTTTGGTCACTGGGTTGACTAACATGTGTCACGATTAGTCACTTGAAAAAATTAATATTAATTTTGGCCACTCGAATTATTAAAACGATCCATGTTTAGTCACTCTCCATTAACTTTATAAGATGTGTCAGTCAATCCTAACAGTTGGCCGTTAAATGTTTGACGTGACAATTAAAAATTAATAAAAAATAAATTTATTATTTTAACATTTTCACATCATAAAAATAATAAACTTTGGCCCGTGGTTTCATAAATTTACGCCGTTGATTATAATATTTGGCCCGTTGATTATAAAATAATTTATTTTATATTTTATAAATTTTATTTTTTGGTTAATTTGAGAATGATAAATAATAGAAATTAGGAAAATAATTTGATTTTGATTTTTTTAATAATTTTTAGGCTGACGACGCAATGACATGGCGTGCTGACTAACGGTCAACGGTGTTGACCATCCAAATTGACGGTCAAACCATGTGTCCGGCCAATTGAGTCTATATGGTGCATAGTTGAGGCCAGGATGTTAATTTCTGAAACCACAGGCCAAAGTTGATTATATGATCATAGTTCGGACCAAAATAATGTATTAACCCATATATTTAAGATGACTTTTACATTGCACTCATGATCGGCAACAATTGAACCAATTTCAACCGGACGGCGTGTCACTACTTAGTTGGAGAAACAGTATGGAGAAAACGGATTCAAGGCGTGATTTTGATCACTCTCTTTAGAGTGCTTATTTGCCCCCACTACTCAGTTGCTGGTAGGATTTAGGCAAACCACCCCTAGGAGTCCCTCCAATCAAAGTCAGAAAGCAGCACCTTTCGTGACTTCTATGTTTGTGTTTTTTGAGAAGGAAAAACGACGAGAAGAAGATGAACGTTGGACGAGAAGTTCGGCTGCAGAAGACTTTTTATAGTGAAAACGGAAGTTCCCTTTCGAATGGTTAC